TTTTTGTTTTTTTTTTTTGCTTATCGAGTTGACGACATTTCATACTTTTGCAGTTCTTTTAACAAATGCAGCCGCGTATTTTGTGATATACCGTGGCGTACAACATTTGTTATCATTTCCCGAGCGATATATTCAGCACAAAATGTGGAAGGGGGGGGGGCGGAGAGAAGGGAAAAGCGACGTCGGTGGAGAGTTAAAGTTTTCCGACTTGGCGGAGAGTATTTATTTTGACGGTGCGCGCCGGGAGATCCTTAAACGGGGAAAAGAAAGGGAAATAGAGAGAGGGAGTTGACGTTGAATACGAGATGAGTAAGCACGGCCAGGTCGAAGAAGTAAGATTTGCTCGAGTCGAAGAATATATTAAAAGATGATGTGTCTTTGTATTATTTCATGGGACCGCGGTGAGTTGTGGGTCTTCCGAGTGACCGAGGGCTTGTGTGTACATCGCTACGATAAAAGTATTTTTTTTTTTTTTTTAGTTGTCAAGCTCGTCGATGCACATCAACATAAAAGTGTTTGTTTTTTTTTGAGTTTTTAAAATATTTGGAATATGATTACCAGTATCTTCTCATCACATTTTTTTCATTGTTTTTAGTTATGCGTACCGATGTACTGAAGCGATGTGTATGTGTATTTTTTTTTTTGAAAATGTTGCCCAGTGTTACATTGTATTTCATTTCAATGTCACAAAACCAATACAATTATAACATTCGAGCAAAATCGCTAGATTAAATTTATAAAATCGATCACCAGAAATACTGAGACTGACCAATGAGGTACAATAAGAAGGGTACCCAAAAACTATATTTGGCCATTAGGACAAAAAAAAAATCATACCTCATTCCTTGTTTGTAGCTTGATATTTATTGCCGAAATGAATGAATTAACGCGTGTAAGTTGAAGTGTTAGAGAGACGACGATATAGTTACTGAATATTTGATCGGTTTAGCGCACGCATTAAAATTTAATAAAAATGCAACGAATATCCGCGGTATTGTTGATGTATTAAAAATTGGATGCAACCCGAAAACTCGGAGACAGACGTGGTGACTCGGGCAGTGAACATGTGTAAAACAACCAACTGTATAAATATGATGTATAGATGTGCAGAAAAAAATATGCAAAGCAGTAACTGCACATACACTGCTTCATCCAACCAAAAAAATATCATTAAAAGAAAAAAAAAATACCCCCTTTCCCTTGAACAAACAATGACAATGGGTCCAGGAGAAGAGCAGCATCAGCGATGGTACGTACCGCATGATATATACATATATGCGACCTATATGGTTGTACGCGGCAAAGCGGTAATTAAAATAAAATTAATTGGATTGGCCGAGTGGGTGGTAACGACGAGAGTAACCCACGCATGCACATATATGCCAACCTATCTATAATAATATGGTATCGAACGAGAAGGGAATATACGCACAGGGAACACGATGTGAGCAGCACGAGCGGGCCGTGGGGGTATATATATATATACATATATACGTGTGCCCGCAATAAGGCTGTCGAGCCGCGGGCCACGGTTTTCTGGGCTGCCGCGCGCATTGCACAGTTGCTGTTTATTCTGCGGCTCCCCCCTGCCCCTGTTCCGTCCGATTATTCATAAATGCAGCGTCGCTGTGCTCTCGCCGCACTGTGGTACATCACAACGGTATATATATGGATATTGCGTGTGCGTGCATAGATCGATTGTACTGGACGAGCTCGTCGGCTTGTGCTTTAGCTGATGATTATTATACCGGATGTACGTTAATTGTAGACGAGTCGACGCTCCTGTTGCTATTGCTCTTATCGCGTGGTGTTGTTGGTGGATGATGATGATGGCGATGCTATTAGCTTGGATATCGTTCTGCCGTGGATGATCGTAAATTGTTGTTGAGGATGACGGTGACAGCTCCGATATGCATGGTTTGTCCCTCATGAATTTTAAAATTCCTTTTTATCAGTGCAATATTCCTTTGAATGGAAAACTATGCTTGGGTGATAAAAACATTTTTTTTTTTTTTTTTTTTTGGTTTCCACTTGATATCCAATTGTTTTGGAGATAAAAGTTTACATTTTTAATTGTTAGTGTTTGAAGTTTAACTTATGTGGACAAGTTGCGCTGAAAATGAAAATATATGCATGCCACCTGACTCTTTAATTACTTTTTTTACTCACTGGTAATATTCATTTGTAAGTATTGAAAAGTGAAACAAAGATGTTCGCTGGTAATTGTTTTAAAAACAATAAATCATAATTACGAAACTCTTTATTTTCCCTGCAATATTCCTTTGCTAATTTTCCTTTCCACGACGTTACAAGCTGGTTTCGTAAGGTATGAAAAATGTAATTAAAAATCAAACCTCCAACGCCTCTCTGAGCGAATATTAGACTTGAGCGTTTTTCTTGGAGCATCGGCGTACAGGTATGAAAATAAACAAATGATCAATTACAATTTTTCAATTAAAATCGCGGACGCAATATCGCGTTTCCACGTGGCTGGAAGACGAAAAAAAACAAACGAAGGAGAAAAATTAATTAAAACTCGCGCCTCACTTGCGCGTACACAAACGGTGGTACGTATCGGTTAGTCCCATTAAAATTTTAAAAATCAGCGAGCATTCATCGATTTTTCGCGATACTCTTCAATTTAATTTTGTTTGTAGTGCATCCTCTTGGACCATCTTTGACTTGCGGCTAAATAAACCAAATCCCAGGGGGTTAGCGGTAAGAAAGAACTTGGACTCTTGTGCCCGAAACACTTTAAATCAACGATAGCAACCCCGTGCGCGTGTGCAGGGGGTGTAAAACTTTGTTCTCCCCCAAGGGAGGGGCAAAGTGAACGAGTAGCGAAAAAGCGACGAAAGCCAGTTGTTTACTCGCGTTTTCGAGATTTGGCTCTCCTCCTCCCCAACGCGTATAGCTGCAACCGATCTCCTATCCCTCGGTACTTGCACTCTGTGCTTGGGTATAGTATTTCATTAAAGTTTCAGCGAGCTTTGTCTGCCCGGCGTATACGTACCAACGGGAGGCCGTTCTCTCGTGTGGTTGTGCTCTCCTGTCTTCGCTTCGCGATTCCCCGGTGCTTTTTATCTCCTCCGCGAAGCGGACCTTTGGCTTGGCTTGACGGTGCGCTCTCGGGGTTTTTTTTTTTTTTCCCTCCTTCGGATAATTTTATACTATTTATGCAGTAAGTTGATTTTTTTGGTCAGGAAAGACAATTGGCGTTTATTCAATTTATGTGGGTAAGTACAAAAAAGCCCATGGGATCGTCAATCTGGTAAGAGCCAAGTTTATATCGGTAACGTAACAAAATTTCCAGTTTTCAAGTACAGTTGCTTTGTTGAATATCATGAAAATTATACAAGTATGACCAATGAAACACGTTTATAATAATATTTGTAGTGGATTCAAAACATATATAGAAAAACAAAATCAATGCACGAAGATAACAGAGGGCGAAAACCTTCCCAACACAGGTTTTTCGTGTCAGTCGTTTTAGAAGAAAAAAAAAAAAAAAAAAAACGAATTTCATTTGACAAAGTTGGTACTTAAACTTTACTACACGTGTAATTTTGCTACGCATTTGAGAGACACTAGTGTACGAAACATATATGTTTTAAGGTAAAATTAATCATTACGCGCAAACAAGAAGAAATGAAGGAAGAACAAAAAAATCATCTAAACTATATGGTACTCTGACTTGATTTTGTCAGGACAATCAATGTATAATAATACACATAGAGAAAGAGGGAGAGAGAGAGAGAGAGAGAGAGAAATGACGCGTGCCGCCAAGTATAGATTCCCAAATCCAATAATGATTCCAATGCCCCCCCCCTCCGCGTGCACTTCTGTTCTTTTTCTCTCTCTCTATACACTGCCGTTCCGCCCCTGCGCGTACTCTCTCCCTTTTCTCCGCTGTTTGCGCGTGGAGCTAAAAAGGGCTTCGCTCACGTTATATTTCCATGCCCGAGCGATGAACGGGCAGGGGGTGGCTCGAATCGCAGTAATTTTATAAACACTTTGAAAATCTTGCGTCACGCGTCCGGCTTCCCTCTTCTCGGGGTGCCCCGAGATTGCCTCGGCCACTTGTGGGCTTCCCCGGAAAATAATTAGAAAATCGCGCCCCCGCTTTGTGCACGTGCTTATATATACATTTCGACCTCATCCCTCCCTCGTTTTTTCCCTTGCCGTACCTCCTCCCCCCCTGAAATATATATATACATAGGTGTAATAACAATTTGTGTTTGCGTGCACGCGAAAAACCGTTTGAAAGAAAAATTGGCTCTACTTCTAGCTGGCACTGTCTCATGCATTAGGATTATTTAAATCACGAATGATTGCTTTTGTCATTATTTTTTGATTCAACCGTATTTTTACAAATAGTTACCTAATTTTAGTAATTTGTGATGATAACTTTAATAAAAAATGTCTTTCTATCTCTCTCTCTTTCAGCTATCCGAAGCGTGTACTTTTATTGTCGGTTTGTGAATAATTGCTACAGGTTAAAAATAATTTACGAAAAACTAATTAAATACAAATAGGTACCACGATTCGCGTTCCAGTGTGCGCTTCACAACGAGACTCGATCCTCAGATTTAGGGGCTGATGCGTTCATTGATTCCAACGTCAATTCAAACGAAATTATGGATAAATAAATAAAAAAAAAAAAAACTTTCCATTAACCATCAAAATACGCACTGACGATTCATTGTTGTTTTTTCAAATCTTTTACTTTGTATAAGGCGAACTAGAGGCCAATTATAGCGGGGAAACAAAAATACCATCAAGAATGGCCAATGATGGGTCATTACAGAGATTCGTTGAAACATATACACCTCCGTCCACTGTGCATCGGCATCCTCATGTGTCATCATTTCCGTATAGGGTGAAACTTCCGTCACCTGTTTTTCCCGCTAACCTGCAAAATAACCAAAAACTTTCGCAAACCCAGTTAAAATCCAAAGTTGCAACGTAAAGTAAAAATCTTTGAAAAAAAATCGTAAAATATGGCCGAGCAAAAGGACGGCCAGGAAAATCCAATGAACGTCGAGGAGGGAGGGATAAAGCCAAGCGTGGCCGAGTTGGCGGCCGATAGACTGAAAACGCAGCCGTCCATGATGTCGCGAGGGAGCACAAAGTCGCGATCGCGGAAGAGAAGGGAGGCCCGGAAGAGGGGCAATTGCGAGGGACGAGAGCGCTGGGATTGCGAGGAGGAGCCCCACTGGCGGATCTACATGCAGATGTTGGCACCTCCACGGGGATAGACGTACCCGACGTTTTATACAAACCCAACTATTTTCGTAGGTTCGCGGACGACGCGAAGAGACGCGAGGAGGCGGACCGCGAGAGGTACGGCGCGTTTTACCGCAAAAAGCCACCCAAGGACGCGCCCTCGCGATGGCCCGGCATCTGCTTGACCACGGGGCCCATCTGCCAGGCCCTGAACGTCCTCAACACGTCCAAGCGCCACGACGACCCCTCGCCGGAATCCAAAATGTGGGATGGATTGCGCGAGCCCAAACTGGTTCGACACACACCCCTTTATTAAATCCCCCATTGAGAGAAAAAAAAAAAGAAAAAAGAAAATGGCAATAATTACTCTGCTGGAATGGCCATCCCGTATTCCCGTAACGTTCAAAGTCCCTACACGACCCCATTTTCCGATTCTGGCACCGTAATTATTACTACTATTATTTTTTTTTTTACCATGATTGTGAATGGTCCCTTTAGCTATGGGATTCGGCGAGCGAGTCGAGCTGCAGCGCTCCCGAGTGGCCGAAGCTGTTCCCGTGCTCGAGGCGCGACGTGGTGAGGGAGCGGAAAATCCTCGCGAGGAAGGCTAAAATGAGGAAACTGGGCGCCCTGCCGTGCAAAATCGACGCGGTCGATTCACCAGGTAAATCATGGACGCACCCGTGGATTGCTCGTTCGGCTTGACCCTGGAAAAACGATCCTTGGCGCAGAGTCCAGCGACGAGGAGGAACTGGTGGAGATGGCGAACCTGAAGGAACTCGGGCACGCGGTCATACCGCGCACGTTGCCCAAGAAGCGCAACGTCATCCTCGTCGATCGAGCTTGCGGGGAGAGCCCTGGACTCGTCGAGGGCGACTACGTCGTCTTCGAGCTCGTCTCGAAAAAGGCCACGAGGTCGTACACCAATATTTGCCTCAGGGGAACTACGGGGATGCACCTGGGCGAGCTCGAACGCGTGCGCGAGCGCACGTGGAAGTTTTGCCTCTTCCAAGCTCTCGTCGCTCTCCTGACCAAGACCCAATTCAGGTATACATACGATTTTTCCACTTTTTCCTTTTCTTTTTTTTTTTTTTTATTCATTATTTTGTCCCCAAGGTACAAGTACGTGTGGAGCGCAAACATCGATTACATGTACGAGCACGCGTGGATGTTGTTTTTGCACGTGGGCTTGCTGAACGTGGTGAAGAGCCAGAGGTTCGACGACGTGCTCGTTTACAATTACAAGTACAGCGTGGAGGTCGAGTTGGTGGACGAACTCGGTGGGGTGAGGGTCGACCCGATGGTGGGTTTCAGGTACACGGAGAGGGGCGGGTGCAAGCCGAAACGAAGGCCGAGGAGGGAGCTCATGCTCGTCAAGTCCTCGTTCGGCAGCGAGAGGGAGAAGGACCAGTACAAGCTGCCCGCGCACAGGAGCTACCGGGCCGTGGAGAAATGGTTCGACAAGCTCGAGATTCAATACACCAATTGCATATACAGGTTGGAACGTGTTGATCATGCCACCAGATGTTTACTACTTTGCTTCCACGACGTGTTGTTGTAGAACGACGAGGTTCTCGCTGGCCTTTTGGCAGGACGGGCCCTTCTGGTACCTCTACAACCCGTACAGGTGCGACAAGCACGGTTTCTGGGACGACAAAGGCTTCGCTTGCGTGGTCAAGTTTTGCACGAAAGCATCGCTCAAGCGCCACCTGATGATCCTCACGCTGAGAGCTTACGCGTACGAGGCCGAGGTACACGGCGCCGACGACGCCTCGGACAAGTGCAAAAACAAGAAAAAGTCCAGAGAAGAGTTCGCCATTCAGATTTTCCAAGTGATATACCACTCGTGTCAGATACACAACGTCAAACTGTACAATCGCAAGCCCAAGAGGCCGAGGCTGGCTACGCTCGTCGAGGGGAAAAAAAGCGACCCCTGCACCTTCGATCCACTCGTCCAATTGGCACCCAAAGTATGCACGGGAGCTTGCGACGACGACGAGGTACTCTCCCCCTTCCCACCCTGCCCCCCCTTTTTTTTTTCTCTTCTATTTTTTTTTGTTTTTCCAATTTCAGTCGAGCGGCAACATGGAAAAACCCCGGTGGATCCAGGATTCGAGGATCACGTGGTCGAAGAACGCGACAGACGTGGCCGAGTGCAAGAAAGGCGGCGAGGAACGGCCCAAGTGGCACGCTTACGACGTACTCGAGCCCCGCCGACTATACGTGCTCTGGAGCGACGTCCACGTGTCGGACCAGAGCTTCGCCCCGGAAAACCGCAACAGACAGGTCGAAACCTGCCACGCCGTTTGCGCCGGCATGGGCCTCGTCAGAACCGCGGAGTATTGGACGCCCGACGTGCTCAACGCCATAGTCGTCAGCGGGGACAGGTTTGGCTCTTTTGTTTTTCCAAAAAAATTCGGCCACCAACGAGCTCCCTCTCCCCCCCCCCCTCGCAGGTTCTTCACCGAACGCAAGCTCAAGCTCCAACGGCTGCTTGACACGAAGGACATCCGCTGCGCAAACTGGGACGTCCAACCACTCGACCAGTTTCGCGTGGCCAACATGCTCTTTGAGCTCAAAGTACACCCGGTGACTCGAGGTCGGCTGTTTGCAAGGGGCCAGGGTCTTTGGTCTACGCTAGAGCGGCTGTTCCGGGAGCACGAGTTTGTCAGCCTGAGCTGCCAGAGCTCGAGCTTTGGTATTTTCAAGCACTGCGGGGCGTACTACGCCCTCGACGTGCTGTCCTACGGTCCGCCGGTGTACGGGCGTGGTCGAGGCGGCACCTACTTGCTGAGGGCCTCGTGCTTCGGTGATCTGGTGAAGTGTTTGGTGCTGGTCGTCGGCACGCCCGAGTGCTGCGAGTTCGAGCTCAGGCCGATGGAGATCGTCAGGGTGGAGGAGCTCGGGGTCGAGGAGTCGGGCGTGGTGCGCGAGGAGACCGAGTGCGGGGAAGATTATCCGTCGAAGCCCGCTTGTCCACTGGAGGACGAGAGGAGAAAGGCGAGCAAGAAGAGAGGACCCGGAGGCCCCGAGCCCCAGCAAAAGATCATCGACATCGTCGTTTGCAAGAAGACCAAGTCCTAGGTCTCTTTTCTTTTTTTTTTTTTTAAGTACTTGTCCTGCTCGACGTAACAAACTAGATGTCTGGTCTGAGAGATTCAACATGTATACGTGCACGCGATCGTACTTCTCGAATCTTTGCAAGCCAAATCTTTTATTTTCATAATATTAAAATCTTTCAGTACCACCGACATACTCCGGATAGGACAGATTCTGATCTACTTGCGTGCACGTGTATTAATTTTTTAATTTATACACACGACGAAATATATGTAATGTATGTATCGAATGAAACATATGGGTTGTCGGTCGGTCGAGCCGTTTGATCCTTCAAATACGTTGACAAGGAAAATCCTTTCTCGGAAGATCGGGATGATCGGCTCGGAAATCGGATAAATCGTAGTTGAAAAATTGAAACAACGACATAATTCTCAGCAGGTCATCCGTCGTGAACGCCCGACAATGGCCGTATACATAGCTCGCTCGAGCGACCCGAATCCGAAACGGTGTATATATAATATATTTTCACCTCATTGGACAACAATGACTTTTAGCGTGGCAAACACGATCCACTTTGTCTCCGTTCGTTTGTACACGGGGACTCTGTCCGAGTTAGATTCTGCTCAGGAAGAGAGAAACGTATAGACGGGGAAGGAGAGAAGTGGTGAAAGCCGGAAGAGCTCTTTACACGCCTAGAACCGCTTCATTATATACTTAGTAAAACGAGCTGTCGTTCGCGTGCCACTGCGTATACAAATTGTGGTCAAACTGTGTTTTTGAGTCTTGGCATCAAATCTTGGCATTTTCTCGAATTTGGGGGAAGATGGAAAAACTACAAGCACAGGGGAGTCGACCACAACTACAATGGGCCATTGATGCCGCACTCTTCTATCTATGTATAATATATATCTTTCAAATATTACCAATAATCTAAGATTACATTTGTTGCGTGTACGTAAGTTTTTGTAAAAATTTTTTTACCTCGATTTTACAATGGAACTTGCATCAATGGCCAAAATACTCACCTGTCGGGATGTGTGGATATGGTGGCAATTCAATTTTTCAAAAAAAAATAAAGGTCACATCAAGCATATTCTATAATGTCATTTACTTTATTAAATACATCTTTTTCACTTGAGTATGTCTAAAAGAGAAAGTCGTACGTTTTACTTCGTTTATCGTATATTTTCAATAATTCTCATCAGCACGGGGGTGGGGGAGGGAGGGAATATAAGAACATTTTTTATCACACTCGTTGATCTTCGTATATTCAGGGTCACAACTTATTCGATTATTTCTTTTATTTTACACACACGATCAATCGTATTTACAAAGTGTTTTTTTTTTTTTTATTTACAATGCAACTTTTATTTACATAACCATAGACGGTTCTCTTTCGAAGGAAAGTCGCACGCAGACAACAAAAATTCCTTTTCATTCGACGTTTTTTTTTTTTTTTTTTTCCAACGCGTCGATTATTTTGTTTTAATAATTAACAATAATTTTTTCATCAAATCGTTTATTGCCTTACTTCAAAAACCTTATAAAGACGAAAAGTTACGTCCTTTGTTTTTTTCGTAATTCAAATGCAAAGGGATTTCTTCCGGCGCCCCGGATAACCCCATATAATTTCACGCTTATTCGTTTCATTCGTATAAAACAAGAGATCATTTTTTTTTATTCTGTTAAAACAACTCACTCGTCCGCTTTTTCAATAATAAGTACAAACACATCCATACACAATTTTTGATTTCAACCCGATACAAGTGTTTCACGCGTATCCTCTGAAATAATTGTTGATCAATGATTTTTCACCGTTTTTCACCTGATTTTCTCACCATATCAAACGAAGATGTCTTAAAGTAAAATTATTTACAAAGCATGTGTATGTATGTACACATCGAAAGAAAAAAGGTACCCACGAATCAAAAAAAAGAACGCACTGGCCTTTGGTAACGTAATGTATAATGATATTTGTTAATCTTTAGCATTTTTGCTTTAGGACCCAATGAAACCGGTCGTCCCAACAAAGATCCAAATCTACAATGTACACATTGTCCCGATGAAAAAAAAAAAAAAAAAAAAAGAGAAAGAGAGTCATTGCAACAAACAACAAACGCGATATTGTTGTGGTGTTCCCGTGTAATTACAAATAATATCAATAGTCTACTTAGCACAGATGTTTCCGTATTACGCGACTTCGAGGTCCGAGCTGTCGGTGTCCTGGTCGGTGTGATTGTGGGCTTGTCTACCCGTGACCAAATGGGCGACGCGCATTTGACCGACCCCGACGTCGTTACCACCACCACCGATGCCGGTGCCACCACTGTTGTTGTTCCCATTGGCTCCGGAACTGGAGCGAGAGCGTTGCTCCAGTTGTAGTTTGCGCAGCCTCTCTTGCTCCTCGCGCTTCTGTTTGCGCCATTTGGCACGCCGATTCTTGAACCACACCTGCAGACAACCACACATTACACGCGTTTTTTTTCGCCATCTCCTCCCAAGGTGCATCATGATTGTGTGGCTATTTCAAAAAATATATAGTTTGGGGGAACATTTTTGTTTAGCCCAAATACGTTTTTTCATGGAAAAAATACCCCGCATCCAAGTCAGCTGCCACATGAGAAGGTCAGCGATTCAGCGTATGAGAATTAATTTTCTGATTCCGCCTCAAGTTGCTTCATGAACTTGACGTGAAAATTGATAAAAACTGCATCTACCACGTCCCTCCAACATTAAACGCACACACACCACCTCAACCTCCGATGAAAATACAATGTAAACACAGTAAGCGATTCACTTAGCTGTCACCCTCAGAGCCATAATACCGAGATGGAATACGCGCGTCTCCTTCCCAATTCACCTATGTATATAGTATATTTAAAGGTACACAATAAAGTACAATACGTAATACTTGCACGAGGAACCATGGTATATCACGTTATACGTGCGAGCAGAAGCCCAACGGAGAGTCGTCGGTTATTATGCCAAAGGGGTCGCGTGCGGGCTTTTGATTCCTCGACGCGCTCGTGGAAATCGATTCGGACAGGCGTGCGATGCGTATGAAAAAAAAAAAAAAAAAAAAAAAAAAAAAAAAAAAAAAAAAAAAAAAAAAAAAAAA